GAGGGCAGGGACTGAGGAAAGCTACATTGATTCGGAAACGGGTGTGCAGAGGGATATGGGGTACAGTACGGGGTGAAACATGGGATTGGGTGCGGGACGAGGTGTGGGAGGAAGTGTGGGATGCGACACGCGATGAGGCCGTCCAGTGTCGAGATCGAGGGGTGCCGTGCGTGGGGGGGTTTCGACGTGCACTGGCGACCCTACAAGACGCGCGGTAACATTTCGCTTGTCGGATTTTTGTTATGATCGCCCGCGGACTGCCGTTCACCACGAAATCCAGGGGGAACATCATGCGCACCATCTGCAGCAGCTCCAACATTTTGGAAATTTGGAGCATGGACTTGTCGCATTTTGTTAAAGCCGTGGCCCAACTATCAACTTCAACTTCAAGGCATTATAGCTTGAAAGAGGTTGACCCAGGCAGTTCAGAGCCAAGAAGTTTGTCCTCTTTTGGTATTCGTCCAAATAGAATTCAAGTTATTCACATGCCACTTTTGTCCTAGTACTGTTCCTAAGAAGTTGCACCCCGCCTTTAAGCAACTCCAGTGCAGAAACCGTGCCTGTAGCCTCCCGACGAGGAGAGCGAGAGCAATCCCGCTGAGATGAAGAGGCACGATCCCCATCATGTGTAGGCAAACCCCTATGTCCGCTGCTCCGTAAATTCATGCGAGTAGGAGGAGGCCTTCCAACGGCGGCAAATATAAGTCCACTAGCCATGGTGGAAAAACGAGAAGCAATAACGTCCTTTAGCAATGTACTCTTATGCCCAAGTCTGGGCATAGGAGAGGTTTAGAGTCTGCTGGTGGTAAGCAAGAGAGTTGGAAATTGCCAATAACAGACTAGGTGGCAGGTCCCCAAGACCTGCCGAAAGAAGAAAGAGCTTGTCTCCTTTACAGCACACACCTCTTTCAATCTAATCACAATCTGTAATTTTTTTTATATTAAATAATTTTCCATGTTTTGAAGGGCCTCAAGGGCCTCTCAGACTCTATCCTCAGCCATTTGTCCACACGGACCAACCTGAAGTGGATGGACCTGAAAGAGACCTCGGGCTTCAATGCAGAGGGCGTCAGGCACCTTTACAAGCTGCCAAAGCTAGAGATGCTAGAATTTATATGGTCAGGTGTGTCAGACACTGCGTTTGAAGGCATTGGGCCGTTAACCAATCTCAAGATCCTTCGTCTGTCGGATACCGATGTGACCAATGCTGGTCTGGTGCACCTGACAGGTCTTTGTTCTCTCAAAGAACTAGACTTCTCCCAATGTATGGCTGTGTCAGATGCTGCCATGGTGCATGTGGGTAGGCTAACCGGGATGGAGAACCTTGTTTTGAGGTGGACGGGAGTCACGGGGCTGCATCACCTGACAAATCTCTCCTCTCTCAAATTGCTGAGCATTTCCGAATGCAAGAATGAGGCAAATGCTGGCATGGTGCATGTGGGGAGGCTGACAGGGATTAATGATCTTCGGCCGTATGGCACGGCAGTCACGGATGATGGGCTGCAGAAGCTGATTGCCCTGCCTAAGCTGATAGCTCCCTGTCCGCCAGAAGGGGGTACACTTATGAACGATGCTGTACATAGGCGGATAGGCAAGTAGGGTGGCGTAGACTGATTATAGAAAACGATGAGCTGAAAGAAGACTTGACTATGACTGTCTAAGGGAGACTGAGGCGTGGGGCAAGCGGTGAGGGGAAGCATGCACAAGGAGTGAGGCACGGTATGGTATTGCATATTGCATGCACAGTATGGTATTGCATATTGCATGCACGGTATGGTATTGCATAATGCATGCACGGTATGGTATTGCATATTGCATGCACGGTATGGTATTGCATATTGCACGGTATGTACGATCGTGCATATGGTCATGTTTTGGAGTTGCATATTGCAGCGACGTAGAACGTGGTCATGTGGAACTTGTACCATTGTACATTGCAGATGGACAGAAGGTGGCACATGGCTGTTTGGTCTCTTATGCAGGAGGGAAGGCCGCAAAAGTTTTTGGCCGTGGGTTTCAGGCTAAAGGAGATGCATGATTCGGAAAACAGAAGCTGAGGGCATGGTGTGCAGAGCTTGTTCATGGCTTTTAAGTCTTGTTCTATGGATATTCACAATTGGTAATGTCATGTTCTTTAAAATGTTAAACAACATCGAGTAATTACTGGTATGGTCCCTACCTGTAGCACTCAAAAGCATGGAGAAGGCACTTTAGCACTTCATTCAAAGCCACGTCTCACTACTTAATCCAAGATTATACCTACGGTACAAGCATCAGTGGCGTTCTGAGGGTAAAGAACAATACCGTATGAAATCATTCTGTCGAGGTGGCGGCATATGACCAAGGGCAGCGGCGAAGCAGAAGTAGGCATGTGTGTGCATGGGAGGATGGCAGATGTGATGCATGCTGCTGCTCACTGGAGCTCCAAACCAGCTGTTGAGAAGCATTGAAAGGTACCAGCCAGCCACCCCTACTTGCAATGTCCCTGACAAGATTGGTGCATTCCCGCTTCAACTTTTGCCCCTCGACGCCGCTCACATAATCTCCTGAGCAGCACCTGCTGTGGATGAAGCTCCTGCAAGCTCATTCCCTGAATCTGGAAAGAATGATTTCAAGAGGCATGCAGGAAAATGAAGTTTATTCCCTTACAACTTTCTCAATGTGCGTTGCAGTGACCCAAGCGGCTGGTCCAACCCTTCCCTAAGCAAATGTGTGTCGCCACCACTCGTCACAACGCAAAGCCATGATTCTGCAATACTGCCCCAGTATACTTGCATACAGTGTCTGCACAGATGGAGTGGAGGACATACGAGAAGAGCAGGGATGGGTAAAGGACAGGGGATGAGACATGGGATGAGGTGACCCTACTGGTGATGACACAGTGGCCTTTCGCCGCTTGCCGCACTTGGAGACACCTCCGGGTTTTCCGCCTCGGACGTCTTTGCCTCCTCTACAGCCCGGTGCTACGGACTCTTGCGTGGTGCTGTTGGGGATGGTGACGCTAGGGGTACTGACTTTTGGGGTGCTGACTCTGGGGGTGCTAGTTCTGTGTGTGCTAACTCTGGAGGTACTGGGAGTCCTTTTGTTGGTGGGGTCGAGGGTACTACTACTGTGGCTCTAGGGTGTGCACTGTAGCCACAGCCGTGGCGGTCGTTGTCTTGGGAGCAGCCGACGTCGTCGCCGCCAGTTCATGGTGCTGCTGCTGGAGGTTCTGGAGGTGCTGTCTCTGGAGGTACTAACGCTGGATCCGGAGGTGCTGACGCTGGAGGTACTAGCGCTGACGTTGGATTAGGAGGTCCTGACTTTGAGCGTGTTGGTCGTGCTGACAAAGGAGAACTGGCGGTCCTCGTATTCGTACTGGAGGTGCTGGGTCTGGGGTTGCGTCGAAGTCGCTGCCGAAGCAGCCGTTGTTCTGGGAGCAACAGCCGTCGACACTACCTGAGTCGGCGCGTCACTACCTTCTCAGACTCCCACCTGCCTTTGCTGAGCCGACAGCCGCTGGTACTACTCTTCTGTTGTTTCCGCCGGCACTGTTTTCGCTTGACTCCCTTCTGCCTTCTCCCCTTCGTTACTCCTCGTTGCCAGACTCCCTAACTGAGCGTAGGTAGCCTGCGTCTCGTGCTAGAGAGCCGGCCGTCGGCGTAGGCGCCTGTGCGTGCGGCTGCGTGCGTGGCTGCACTCGCGGTTGTCTCGTGCGGACCTAAGCTAACTGATACCATGTCAGAAGAGTGAGAGAACATAATGACTCGCAGGATGTCATACATGGTTCGTATCAACAATGTTCTCTCTATAGAGTACCTCAATCTAAGCAAACTAGCCTAATAAATAATGCAAATATTGCTGGACAATGACATCATATGGGGAAAGACGGTATCTTAAAGCTGAACCATGTCTATCAATGAATTTATTCATGACGGTACCTCCCTAGCCATGTACTACAAGAATACATACAAAAGACACACCCACACACCTGCCCACACCCACACACCCGCCCACACACATCCACACATCCGCCCACACACACACACACACACACACACACACACACACCATAATATAGCAAATGTCTAGAGGAAAACGCAGCATGGGTCCACCCAACCACAGATCAGCGTACTGACACCATAGCTGCAAGCCGGGGCTCCATTGGACTTGGACACATGCACCTGCAGAGAGGTGCTCACCCATAGGAGGCAGCCACACAAACCTGCAATCAAGGGTGCACCAAATGGGAGATATGGAGATATTAATCGCTACAGCACAAGTTGACAGTACATTGCAGAAAAGCATGTACCCCTAACATTAGAGAAGCTATGTAAGTACCCAAACTTACAACATCAGTGTCGTTCTGGGAATTGCGGAAGGAGATCCAGGGATTGAGCCTGCAGAGGTCCACCATGGTGACTCCATTGGATGCTGCCACCTGCTGGAAGTCCACCGCTCGGCCGATCGTTATCTCTTTCACACAACTTGGCCAAATCTTGGTTGGGTCGCGCTCCACACAGAGGGAACGGAACGCGGGGAGGCTAGAAGGGCATGTAACATCGGGGTTGTACTCCAACAGGATTTCCTCAGTTATGTTGAGAAACTGAGCCACGGACGAGCATGTGTCATTCTGTGGGGGGAAGAGGAAAGGGAAAATGGTGGGGAGGGGTTTGAGAAGGAAAGAGGTGGTCCAATGGGGCGAAGGAAGATACAGCAACACTTAGGTAGTGGAACGCTGGGAACTCTTAAGGTGCAAAAATGACCCAGTAGCACGTGGCCTTCCTGCCGCTTGGGCGACGGATGGTCAAGGGGAGAGTGCAGGGTGAAGGGGAAGCACAACTCATGTCAGAACATGATGGCACTGGTAGCATCCCCGCTATCCATACGTGGTGGATGGGATGCTCCCATAGGAGGAGCAACATGTCAGACTCACCGGCTGGACGTAGTAGAAGGCAGAGCAATCAGGCTGAAACTCTACCAGCATGAGATCTTGAAGTTTAGGAAGGAGAGAAGAGCAGTCAATACTCTAGAGGGGAAGGGGCAGTGAGCGAAGGAGAGGGTGTGGGAGAGGGAGACAGCAGAGCATAGGGAGAGATAGAGGGGATGAGAGAGGAAGAAGGTGGAGAGAGAACGATGGTGAGAGAGTGGTGCGGTAGAAAGAGAGGGAGAGAGTGAAGGAGGAAGTGATTCAGTAAGTCAGAGGTGAGGTAGAAAGAGACAGAGGGTGTGAGAGTGAGAGGGGGTGAAAGATGGTGGAAGAAAGATACGGCACAGAAACAAGAACGGCACGACATGCTCAAAAGATGCACACAGACTTGCGGGAATCGAGATGGCTCGGCTAAGCACGTTGCAGGGCTCACCGGGTTCAGATCGGTGAACTGCTGCAGCGTGAGGCCATACATGGTGTACACGTCCTTGCAGCTCCAGTCGCTGCCCATGACTCTCACGCTCGTTTTTAACATCCAATCCTCACCTGCACACGCTCAACGGGAAGGGTGATAATGCCACGTACGCGATCAGCCACTGATGATGCGAGCTCACCATAGTCAATCAGATCAATATACTTGATCCCGGAAACACACAGCTCGGATTTCAATGTGTAAAGTGCTTGCAGTATCCACTATTGGGTGAAGTGTTGCCAGAAGAGAGCTAACCACAGTTGTTGTAACCATGAGGGCTTACGACAATTGAAGCAATCAGCGCCGTCACAGTCGTTGTTAACTGGAAGGTGGTTGGGCCGACAGACGCAGGTCGGGTGCTCAGCGCCACGGTCGATGCACGTGCCCCCGTTACACGGGTTGACTCTGCCATTGCTACACTTGCTCGCTGGCGGGGGGAAACACACAAGGAGCAGAGAATGGCAAGCAATGGAGTTGCAAGGAGGATACAATTGGGGGATCTGTGGGGCAGGAAAGGGCAGAGAATGCGAGGAGCATCGCTGCTGCCAGTACTGAAAAGCTTTGATCAGGCAATGGTGCTTCCCACGGGCACAAGCGATGACAGCCCCAACATGCATCCTCGATTTTGGAAGGATAGGGTATGGCGAGGAGCATCGCTGCTGCCAGTACTAAAATGCTTTGATCAGGCAACGGTGCTTCCCTCCCAGGGGCACAGGCGATGCCAGGCAGCCCCAACATGCACCCTCGGTTTTGGCAAGTAAGGATAGGGGGGTGGCGAAACAACTGCACTGAAATGCTTTGATCAGGCAATGGTGCTTCCCACGGGCACAAGCGATGACAGCCCCAACATGCACCCTCAATTTTGGAAGGATAGGGGGACGGCGAAACAACTGCATTGAGGCTTACTGCTTGAACTCTCTGCGTCAGAAGCAGGTGTGGTGCTGTTGGTAGAAGCGGTGGTGTTGCTGGCAGAAGCGGTGGTGTTGCTGGCAGAAGCGGTGGTGTTGCTGGCAGAAGCGGTGGTGTTGCTGGCAGAAGCGGTGGTGTTGCTGGCAGAAGCGGTGGTGTTGCTGGCAGAAGCGGTGGTGTTGCTGGCAGAAGCGGTGGTGTTGCTGGCAGAAGCGGTGGTGTTGCTGGCAGCAATGATGCAGCGGGCGGACTTGACTGCCTTGCTGAGAGAAGTCGACCTGAGGGGCATTGGGAGGCACCGGGAGAGTGCAAGGTCGCTAGTCAGGTGGGGTATGAAGGAATGTCGTTTCGGAGCAAAGAAGCAGATAGATGGAGAACGAGGGGCTCACCTCTGCTCGCCTTGTGCGAGAGTGTCCACCGTCTTCCCTGTGCACTTGGAACTGTTGAAGAACTGAATCTCCGTGCAAGCAGTCTTGTTTCCCTGCTGCCATGTCACCTGCACGCTCCTATTCCCGCCGCTGGCTGGAATGGCGACACAGCGGAGGGCGTTGAAGGTGAGAGCGCGGCTGCTGATCTTCATCCGCGTGCCCACCACGCTCGCCGATGCTGCGGCTGTTGCCTGCGACACCAGGGGACTCGCTGCAAGGATGGGATGGGAGAGCACGGGAAATGCCAAGGTGAGAGCGCGGCCGTTGATCTTCATCCGCGTGCCAACCACGCTCGCGGCTTGCCGCTGCAAGGATCGAGCACGTGCAAAGCGAAGGCACGGGGCGAGGGGCCATCTTCAGTGGAATCCACGGATGGCATCGCATGTGCCGTGCGAACGCCGTGCTAGAATTGCGAATGCGAATGGACTTGGCAGGACGGCGAATGCGAAGATGGGTACAGGGGAGCATGAGCGTGTGAGCGTGCATGATGCGGCGTACCAGCGATGACGGCAATGACGACGAGCAGCGCAAGCACGGCCTTGCCCTTCCCCATGCTGCTGCTGCGAGCGATTAGAGCAGGCGCTGGTGGTTGATAGTTGGGACGGACGAGGATTGGCGACGGACAGCAAGAGAGGATGGTGCGGCAATACAGGGGGGCGCCGGAGAAAGGTGATTTACTGTCAGTGACACCGCTGGCCGTTTGGTGCTAACTGGTACAATAGGCGAGGTGATAAGGACGATCGCCAGCGAGGCGTCGCAAGCAGTTTATCCGAAAATTGTCAGCGAAACTTTGAGTCAAAGTGACCCGCGGGATGCGCGAGGCGGGACCTCTGTGACGGGAGATGCGCACCGTCCCCGTCACGGCGCGACCCGTGGGCCGTGATCATCGCTGAGAAAGACGCAGCGAGAGCTCTTGGTGTGGCGAAAGCTCAATGGTGTGCGTTAACGCGTTCCTTTGGCGGCGTGGCGAAAGCTCTATGGAGCGCGCGGACGCGATGATGCAACCGACGCGTTCCATGGGCGTGGCGAAGGCTCCGAGCCTTAAATTGCGGGGGAACGCGATGAGCTGTCGAAGCAGAGTCTATTGCGGGGGGAAAGCGATAATGCAGTCGAAGCAGAGTCTATGGCGGGGGGAAAGCGATGAGCTGTCGAAGCAGAGTCTATTGCGGGGGGAAAGCGATGAGCTGTTGAAGCAGAGTCTATTGCGGGGGCAAAGCGATAATGCAGTCGAAGCGTCTATCGCGGGGGGGGGGACGCGATGATGGCGGGGGGGAACGCGATGATCCAGCCGAAGGTGGGAGGGGATGTATCTCGTCAGGTTATGTGCCGAATCAATCCTGTTTGTTCTGGTGTGCAATGGTCTAAAGCGGTGAAGTCCGATCACCGTTGTGAAACACGATAATCGACAGCATCAATAATTTATTGAAAGACTCATTATTGAAATTAGATATTTGGAAACATGAGATTTGGAGATATTTTGTGTTGTTACTAGTGCATTTGAGAGAGAGGACTATAATTGAACAATCAAAGCAAAACAACACGATGAGCTAAGAAACGAGCGGATTATTACACAGCAAAAACAATTGGTAGCCATAACGCGCCCACAAAGGGGCGTCGAGATAAGCATTCAGACAAAGTAGGCACAGATCAAAGAGGAGTACAGAAACGTTGATGATCACCAGACTCAAAGGAGTCGGTGAAGATATCACCAGTCTTGGCCTCCCAAGAAATGCAAAGCTGACTACGCTGCTATAGCCCTCGCACGAGAAAATAACGAAAAAAAACAATTTGCTTCGTTCTGTGCTATAGTCTTCTCAGAAACAGAATACAGCAGAATGAGTAGCATTGATTGGGTTGGGGTACATATGCCTAACCCTAACTGTTTGTACCCCATATAGCATGACCCACAATAGGCTATAACATTTGACACACCCCCATAGCCTAAGTGGGGAATGCCAAGCAACAAGAAACGCAACCTAAGGTCACAAGACCAGTCACAAACAAAAGACAAAACAAGCTCAGGGTGGATCACAACGTCACCACACAGTCTGAGCGCAAACAGCGGCCACAAGGCCAGTTCAAGAGTGTATATGCAAATATATGCAGTACAAGCAAAGACAAGAGACAAGCACTCACTACTGCAGTCTACTCGACCCAGTCTCAACGAGGCCCAACTGCAGACAGAACCGGCGGTGGTCACAAGGCTGAAGTGCCTTGGTGAAGATGTCTGCAGTGTTGGCCTCGGAGGCCACGAAGTCCAGACGAGCCTGCCCGCGTCTCTGCAACTCTCGAAGGAGGAAGACGTCGATGTGCTTCACTCTGCGCTCCAGTCGAGGCTCACGACACAGGAGAATCATCGCCCTGTTGTCAGCAAACAGGGTCGGTGCAGAGCTCGGCCGCTCACCAAGGTCAGTGAGTAGAAAGGTCAACCAGCGTAGCTCCTGAGCAGCAAGGGCCCCAGCGTAGATCTCGGCCTCTGCGGTAGAAGTCGCAACCGAGGAGGACCGAGTAGACCTCCACGAAACAGCTCCAGAACCCAGGCTGAAACAGTAACCCTGCGTAGACCTCTGAGTCTCAACGTCGTCGGCGTAGGAGGAGTCGCAGTGATCGGTGACTACAACTGGCTGTGTCCCTCCAAGTACAAGCCCCATGCCTGATGTCGCGCCAAGGTACTTCGCCACCGCCCAGTGAACAGGACGGTGTCTCCCAGTCGCAACAAAGCGAGAAAGGATGCTAAGAGGGAAGGCGAGGTCCGGGCGAGTGCACGTCATCAGGTACATGAGGCAGCCCACCAGCTCTGCGTAGGGACCACTGGGCTCGAACGGCTCGTCAGGAAAAGGCCCAGTGAGTCTGTGGTCTACAGCAAGAGGAGTGGGGGCAGGAGAAGAGTCCTGAAGCCCGAACCGCTGAAGGACCTGCTGCACCATGTGTGACTGAGTCAGAGTGATGGTGCGAGCGGCTCTGTCCCTGGAGATCTGCAGGCCAAGGTAGCGGCGCAGTTCCCCAAGGTCAGTGCAGGTGTGTCTCTTTTGCAGTTCGGACTTCACCTCCGCCAGTGCAGCTGTGTCGGCTGTGGCAAAAACCAAGTCGTCAACGTAGACCAGAACGAAGAAAGGTGTGCGCCCACGACGAACAAACAGCGACGGGTCGGCGGAAGACGTCTCAAAGCCGAGGTCGGAGAGAGTAGAGCGGAGAGTGTCGTGCCACTCACGGGGTGCCTGGCGGAGACCGTAGACCGGTCGTCTGAGGCTCCACTGGGTCCCAGGCGGGAAAGTGCCAGTGAAGCCCGGAGGACGACGCAGCCAGATCTCCTCGTGTAGGCGGCCCTGGAGGAAGGCAGTGGAGAAGTCAAGAGAGTGAAGCTCGTAGTCTCTCTGCGCTGCTACGTGCAGTAACACCCGAAGAGTGGTCATCTTCGGGGTGGTCGCGAAGGTCTGAAAGAAGTCAACTCCCTCACGCTGACTAAACCCTCTAGCCACGTAGCGTGCCTTGAAGACTGGGGGAGATCCCGGCGGCCGCTTCACCTTGAAGATCCACATGCCGTCAACGATGTTCGCCCCTGGGGGGGGAACCTCGTCAACGTAAGTGCCTGTGGACCTGTAGGAGGCCATCTCTGCGTCCATGGCAGCTCTCCACTGAGAGGCCCAAGGCCCTGACACTGCCTCAGCGTAGGTGCGAGGAGTAGGTATGTCAGGAGCGTCGGGGTCTCCCTCAGGAGTGAGCAGCATGGCACAGAGATGAGGTGAGGAGCTGCCAGGAACTCTAGCTCAAACTGTCTGTCCTCTAGGACGTCACAGCCAAGGGCAGACTCACCCCCGGCGGACAGAGGACGGACAGGAGGAGCGGCCACAACACGAGTGGCGTAGTCAAGGCGACGCGTAGCAGTAAAGTCAGTGACAGCGGCAGTGAGGACCGCGACGGAGGAAGGAGAGGCACGAGGGTCTGTAACAAGAGAGGCGAGAACACGAGAGAGAGTGGGGCGGTACGCGCGGTAGTAGTCAGTGACCGGAGTGGACAGGGAGGCAGTGAGGGACGACTCAGGAGGACGAGGAAGGACAGACGGAGGAGAACGAGGAGGACTAGGACGAAACAACACGGTACGGAGGTCAGTGACAGGGGACGAGGGACGAGCACGAGGAGGACGAGAGGCCCAAGTGTGGGCGAGAGGAGGGGGGGACGGAGGAGACCGAGAACGAGGGAAGACAGCCGGAGTGGAGTCCGGAGGAGGAAACGTAGGACCGAACACAGGAGGAGAGGAGGGGAGACCAAGGGCCCGAAGGCCAGAAACAGGTGCCGGAGGCTGCTCCGGCTGCTGCTGCTGCTGCTGCAGCTGCTGCTGCTGCTGCTGCTGCTGCTGCTGCTGCTGCTGCTGCTGCTGCTGCTGCTGCTGCTGCTGCTGCTGCTGCTGCTGCTGCTGCTGCTGCTGCTGCTGCTGCTGCTGCTGCTGCTGCTGCTGCTGCTCTCGCTGCAACTCCAACCTCTCACGCTCCACCCGCTGCTGAACCTCCAACCTCTCACGCTCCAAACGCTGCTGCTCCTCACGCTCAAGACGAAGACGGGCCTGGTGTCGAGTCGGGTAAGGGTGAGGAGGAGGAGTGGTGTCAGGAGACGACGAAGAAGAACCTGCTCCGCCCTCGACAGAACCCGGCTGAGCACCCCCAGAGCGAGGACCCCTCGCGGCAGCACGACCAGCACCTGTAGGAGGTGTACCCGCACCCCCAGCCGTGGTGCCCCCAGTAGCGCCAGCACCAGCCCCAGACTCTCCAGCTCCAGAAACACCACCAGCTCCAGCACCACCACCAGCTCCAGTACCCTCGGAACGGGCAGCTGCGGCAGGTGCACGCTCAGCGCCAACGCCAACACCCCCAGAACTGGCTGCTCCTGTAGGTGCACGAACAGCTCCAACGCCAGCACCCCCAGAGCGAGCACCGCCAGAGCCCTCTCCTCGAGCACCAACACCCTCAGAGTCCGCAGTGGCCGGTGAAGGAAGCGGCGACGGCTGCTGCGGAGGCGGTGAGGACGACTGTGGGGAAGGAGGAGAGACCTGGGGGGGTACCGAGGGAGGGGGAGTAGCGTGGGACACACCAGACGGAGCGGGAACAGGGGGGGGTACCGGAGGAGTAGGGTCGGGAGGAGGAGGAGCTGGAGCCAGGAAGAGGGGAGGGGGGGGAACCGGGAGACCTCGAGAGGGGTACCTGACGTAGTAGGGGACGGACTCGTCGAAACGGACGTCACGAGAGTCAAAGAACCGGTGGGAGGGTGGGTGGTAAAAGGTGAAGTCAGAGGAGCCCTCTGAAAAACCAAGGAAGACACAGGGGACAGCGCGAGGCAAGATCTTGTCTGCAGAGGTGTCGTGGACAAGAGCCAAGCAGCCCCAGACACTAAACCTCGACGCAACACCAGGGGACCCTGTCCAAAGACTGGTCGGTGAAGCCCCTGGCCGAGAGACGCGAGGCCAGAGGTTCAGCTGGTGAGCGGCGTACCAAGCCACGTAGGGCCACAGAAAATGGGGCGCGCGGGCGTGGATCATGGAGGTGCGGGCGATCTCCATGA